AAATTAGGTTCATAATAAGTAAATAGTAAAGTGCTCATCATTAGCTAGTTTACTTTCAACAACAGAAGTTGATTAGTTAGTTCATTTACAATACTTTCTTCATCTCACAGCAGACGAGCTAAATACGTAGGGTATTGTAGAGTTTTTATATTTTGTAGTATGTGCATAAAGTCTTATGTACTTGCTCCTCGTCTTTCCAGATGACCGATATGCGGAGAGCTCTGAGTGAAGAGGACGCTAGTCATTTGATAAAATAACTCCTATCAGATGTTGATATGAGTTAATATATTTGTCCACAACAGTTTTAAGTAGAAGGTTTCGAGGTACACTAGCAGTTCTGCTGACAATCTTCAAAGTTCTACTCAATATAGCATGGTCTTTGTTCAGCAACCCGAGAAAAAATAAAGGGTAACAATCGAGGAGAACAGGCAGGATGCAGAGGTTTATGAAACACAAGAGAAGAAGCTGAGTTATACCAGATATTCTCAGCTTCTTAATGTGGAAAGTTAGGTGGAAAATTGTTTTGAAAATTACTAAGATATGGGAGGACCAGGAAAGGTCTGAAGAAAAACATGCAACGAGATAAATCACACTTGTAACATTCTCTAATGCACAATTATCAATAGAACAGGAATCATGAGAACTAAACAGTTTATATAGGTTATGCTCACATCTAAAACTAAAGTTTACCGTCTGACATTTTGAAGAATTAAGCATAAGACAATTCTCAGAGGACTGTCGTCTAACGGTAGATAGGAAAACATTCAGTTGGGAACAAGTTGTTGAAGGGGAAATAGGTATGGAAACTGTTAGGTCATAAGCATATTTGATGAAATTGATACCAGACGAAGATGGTAAGTCATTCAGAAAGAAAGAGAAAAGATATTGGGAAAGGATGGCTCCTTGGGGAACTGTAGTCACGGTAAGCAATGAGGTGGAGCGCTTCCTTCTGTGAACCGTGTACTGTTTCCCATAGGAGAAATGGGAATGCAGCCAGCTGATTTTTCAAGACCCAGTATTTATCCCAGTTAGCTTGTCCAGCAAAAGAGGTTTTGGGACAGAATCAAATGCCGAAGTACAGTCTAAAATAGCACACCTGGTATCACTTTTTTAATCAAGATAATGAGGAATATCTTGGTATAAGAGAGTGGTGGCATACAAAGTCCTTCTTCTCCCAAGAATAGGTGAGTTTAACCGTGTTTGTTAATATTAGTTGAGGAATTCATAGGAACTAAGAACTAACCAGTCAGACCATATGACACATTTAACGTAGATATTTTCGTGTTCTCCACATTCTTAAGTTTTCTAACTTGGATCAGCTTAGATAATTCTCCTGTAAAAAACGTTATGTTCATATATACGTAGAATTGTGTAAATTGTGTTAGCAGATAGTTTAGATACTATACATAAGTGTTAAACGTAGAGTCACTAGTCTGTCATCAAAAGATGCAGTTCAAAGGTAATAAGGAAATGTATAAAAGAAAAGTAAGTGCCTATGGAATAGTTGTATATGGCGATTTCGCACGGAAATTGTACCAGTATGCAAAGTTAATGGAAATGATAGTACTTAACAATTTTATTCATTTCACCCTACATTGTTGTCATTAGATATAATGGGATGGCTCTGACTAGGTACCATTAGCTTCACTATACTTTTTTTGTATACGTGTAGATATAAATGGCGTGTCTAGGAACTGATGGACATCAATGGACCGACGGAAGTCATCAAGATGACGTTGGAAATGCAGTGGAAACATGTAAGTGAAAATACAAAGTGGGGCTTATTCCATAACTTGCTGTACTGAATCTTGAAGATAACAAGTTTTCGACATTGAACCTAACAGTTATTTTATAGGTCAAACAACGATACAAAAAATTTCCATTCTGTTTATTTTCCCCTTTTATAGGAAAACTATCTTTGAATCCATGGATTTCTTCGGTTATCAGTTAACATTAATTATGTATCCAGGTAGTCATATTTGTATAAAGGACGGGTTTGTTCATTCATCAGTCTCTCAGTATCAGAGGGAAAATGGAACATTGTACCATCTCACATCATTTACATTTCAACACAACGCTATTAGATGAATATTTTTTTTCCAGAAATTATTCACATAAAACATCTGATTGTGATGAGCAGCTGACAGTTGTTTTATCTTTACTTCTCTGAGAACCTGGATGCTTTATCATCTGATGTAGATGGATTAGGTGAAAATTCTTCATCAGATTTGCATTTCAGTCGGAATTTCAACTAAAAGATCTGACTCTTGATCTTGCTAGGCAAAAAGATAGTGTAAGGTATTGTTATAGTGCAGAACCATTTACATTTATCACATATTTATCATACTAAAGATCTTATTTTTCTAAGTAGTAGTGCCATTCATTAGTTGAAGCTTACATTCTAATATCTTTCATCTGCCAATGAATTTCAGATTTCAAGCAGACAATGCTATCTGACTTGATTATTTGTTCTACAGAGATACATTTGACCTTCTTCATATCAATTACAATGTTATCCTTGTCCATCGACCAGTTTATTTCATTGTCAAAGGTGTATGGGTGTTTTAAATCTAAACTGACTTTCTTCTTTATTACCAAACATTTCCTTTATTTATTAACGTTAAAGGCGGAACATATTGTATAACCACAAAGGAGATGAGTTTTGCTACACATACTACTTAAACAATGATGAGTAGTTGGTGGACAACTGTAAGACTAACAAAACTGATTGTCATGATTTAACCAACTTTTACAAAACGTTTTAGAGAAGTGTTTAAATCTCTTTCTATATATATATATATATATATATATATATATATATATTATATATATATATATATATATATATATATATATATATATACCTTCTAAGTACTTCCGTATTACATGTTATCTACTAAAAGAACTTAGATGGAAAACAGGCGCTTCAAAAACTTCTTTTACTTATTTATTTACAGTGAAAAATATAGAATCACTACTGGCAGATGAGTATCGACTTACTGAACTAATGAAAATTGGTGGAATGAAGGGACTAAGTGATTACTACTCACAAGACTTCACTAAACCTCATATAAGATGAAGGAAAAACTTGATGACAAATATTTAGTTTTATATGAGATAATAGGGTTGTTTGCCTACTAGACAACTGACATAGTCTATGCTCTATTAGAAGTTATTTTTTATATTAATGCAGATGGACTAAAATTACCCAAAATTCAGTAATTGAGCTACTAGATTTAACTCAGATTGATCGAGTCTTCATGATTATATCAATAGATAGCCCTTTCTTTATCATGAGGGTTTGAATAGTGAGAGTGATATCTCTTGATGATAAGTTGTTTTCCTGATGACAAATTTCGCTATATTCTACCGGCTCATGATTATAGGTGAATTTTGCTGTCGAGTCACCATCAAAACGTTTTCCTAAATCTAGTTTAGTTACTTATAACTAAAAAAGTAGACACTAAGAATAATAAAAACTTTTGTGGTCGTAAAAATGTATTGAGAGTTGCTGGGAGATATTTTACCGTTTCATTTCAACCGTTATATATATATTGTTAGGAAGTAAGACTCTTTTTACTAGTCAGTATAAACTGAAACATTTTCCATGAAAGAGTTCTTTCTCCTTCAGTTACTACTTGAGCACTGTGGAGGTCAAGTAAAGGGTACGAGAAAAGATATATGCAAGTCGATTGATTAGGTTGTGTCTTCATCGACTGAAGGGGCTTAGGCATGTGTTGTGCATGTCGAGTCACCACCTACCTCAACGTATCATGCCAGGGGAAGTTGGATTAGGTGAGAAGAGTGTTCAGGGTGGCCACATCGAGACTTGACAACAATTAATGAAGTCTCTGACCTCTGATCTGAGCCATGTGTGGAAATTTAGACTGCCTAGCTAGGGAATTAATGGTTGAGGACTCTTGGTGAAATGGCTGAAAGTTGGCCACAATGGCGCAGATGTATTCACTCGTTGACATCTTCTAAAGCTTGAATATTTGAACTAACGATTATCTTTAGATTGTTTATTCTATCACACAACTTTGCCTACTTTGATATCACTTTTTCTCTCCACCTGTTCTTTGTTTACTGATGTGAAGTGTGGTAGCTTGAAACGATGCACCTGTGTAAGAGGTTTTATGTTTATTTTGTCAGTCAGTCAGTCAGTCGGACATGAATGAAAAAATTAATTTTATTTATTCAAATGATTTGTATTCTCAAAAACCAATTTTGCATTTGAATCTCATAATATGTATGAGTTAGTTAAGTATGCAAATATGCTATAAACATATATATATATATATATATATATATATATGAATGGCCTATATTGTAACATTACTGCTAGTGGGATATTGAAATAACCAATCATCTCATTTACAACACAATAAGAAAACAAATCGATTAAAAAATTATAATGAAAACGGAGGAAAGGAGTGATGTAGAGAGAATAAACGATCTTCTGAACACTTTAAATTGCCTAACATATGTCACGGTGTATATTATTCCTCCAGATGGAAACGATAAAAAGGCATGTTATCTAAGAAAGATCTCATTTGAAAATTAATAGCATCGTCTGTATATTCAAATTTTGGGAATAGTGTTTACTGGATAGCTTTTATGAATCAATACCTCACTATGTGAAAGTAGGTGTTTTATACATCAAAGTACGCGAATATATATATATATATATATATATATATATATATATATATATATATATATATATATATATATATATATATATATATATGGGAAATGTTAAGATTGCATGGAGGATCAGGCGTCATGCTTATAGGCATTTAAAATCTGAATTACTGGATATGCATTACTTTTATGCCTCAGAATTAAATTGAAATGGTTACATTGAAACAGGCTAGAACAGTGGAGATGCAAACCAAGAGAAGAGAAAAATGGAAAGAGGCATATTATAAAGAATAATCCCATTGAATTTAGTATAGCGTTTTTTCTGTAATATTTTCTTAAAAAAAATTTCATTTCATTTAGAATTCTTTAAATTCGCTTTCACAATAATTTGAGTTGGATATTCTTAAAGGTTCTTCTTCATAGTCATCAAAGTTGCTTGCATCACCAGGTCCTTTACATGGTGGTAGGAACGGAGCGCATACCTGAGAATAGATAGAATGTAAAGAAATTATTTTTACGAACCAATATCATGAGGTTGCTAATTAGTTTAATTCTGGGAGTAATAATAGTAGTAACAACAATATTCAAACAACATTCATCTTGGATGTGGGTAGTATGAGTGTAGGGAGGTTGGAGGCAGTCGGTAGAGCGCACTGTTCAGTGTAAGTTTCATGATGGTTGTCAGTTATCAGCAAGATGTATCTACACTCCTATTAAGCAGACTGGTGTTGTCCACTGATTCATCATTTGAAAGTGGAATAACTCCCTAAAAACATCTACGATTTGAGAAATGAGTGGTTTGGGTTTAAACCCTAAACAGGTGATCCTTTTTGAGGTTGGAATACTCTACTTCCTGATGAGCACTAACATGGATGAAGTTGAGAGAAGTCAAGGTTTCTTATCTTTCCCCTCCAACCAACTGGCATACGTCAGAGTACAGTGTAACACTTAGTTTTCTATTTTAATGATCAGATCAGAAAAATGATTAACAGAATCCAATCAGCAGTTAAAACAAGGCAACAAGTCATTGCTTTTCTTACTGTGACTATCTAACACAGTGACATGAATTATGGATCAAAGTATATAGTAACTAGGGGGAATTTACACCTAATATCAACTCCTCTGTATCAAATAAATTTGAAAGTATCCCTTTTTAATAAGAATGAAAAAATGTACCATATGAATCGTAAAAAGAACCTAACAGGAAACTCTATATTCAAGTTCTGTGTTTATTCGAACTCATGAGCCACGTATAATAAAATTTCCAGGGATTGTTTTTTCCTTCTGACATACGGACATATTTCATTCAACAGTGCTGTCAACCACGTTGACAACAAATCATTTACGTCGACATTTTGATTAGCGTCAAAATTTTTGGCTTGATTATTGCAGTAAGGACAAAGACAGTCCTTGAGAGGCAACTGCATACAGCTGACCAGTCTTAAATGGGACAAAATGGATGTCCTTGATTCGCTTGCTATCTATTATCCATCATGAGTATGAAAGCAAAGTTACCAGAAACAGTAAGGTAATGATAGAGTGACTCAACAGAGTCACTCCCAGAACAATATTTCCAGATGAAGTGGTTTTTGCATCTGAATGTTGTTAAGAATAACAGTATTCAATGCAATGATGTGAAACAACAAGCTGGTTTGGGACTAGCGTCCTGTTTATAATGAAGAGTCAGCAGAAACGCAAGAGTAAGTTTGGTAGTTGTGGTTCATCCAGCCGGTACAAGAACCTGCAACTCGGGTTAATTATCTGAGAGATTAGAAATATGATATACTTCTACGCACTGAAAGTTCACATCCAAATAACGTGATATTGTTTCACTGTTTTGTTAATAATTCGAGAAACGGTGAGTTGGAAACATTCTAAAAATAAGCAAGAGTACATGATAGGTTCAGGGGACATATTTAAAGGATTAAAATAATTCGAGAGGGAAAAATTTAATAGAAATGTTCTGTGAAAAGTTTTTGTTGCCCAAAGTTCAAGCAGGTGCTAGTTATTTTGTATTAAGTTTAAATTAAACCGGCATTCACTTTATCAGTTCCTGTCTCATCTTTAAAATATCATTTACCTCCATTATTTTGAAGTAACAGCTTGTTTATTTTCAGTGATGAAACGAATTTGCTGGTCACATGAGAATTTATTTTATTATTTTTATTATTAGTCCCTTGGGTTCCTAGTGGAACATAGGGCTTCAGTAGCACGCCTCCAGTGACCTCTGTTCTCTGAGATCTTTTGAACCTGGTTCCACGACAGCCCAGAAGCTCTCATTTCCTCCTCGCACGACCTCCTCCATGTCACCCTCGGACGTCCAACTCGTCGCTTCCCATGGGGATTCCACTCGAGGGCCTGACGCGTGATGTCCTCAGTCGGCCTTCTCAGTGCATGGCCAATCCATCTCCACTTCTTCCTGCATATTTGTTGCGTGATAGGTTCTTGGTTGGTTCGTTCCCAGAGTTCCTTGTTGCTTATTTTTTCTGGCCATCTGATCTTCAGCAGCGAGCGTAAGCAGTTGTTGATGAATGTCTGTAGTTTATTGGAAATACCTTTCGTGACGCGCCAAGTCTCTGAGCCATACAAGAGCACTGACTTGACGTTGGTGTTGAAAATCCGTATCTTGTTCCACATGCTGAGTGCAGAAGATCTCCACACTGGTTTCAGGCTAATGAACGCCTGTCTTGCTTTTCCGATTCTGACTTTGACGTCCTCGTCCGTCCCGCCTGTAGTTGAAACAGTGCTTCCTAGATAAGTGAAGGAGGTTACTTCCTTCAAGTTTCTCCCGTTGACGGTGATTGGAGTTTGTTGTTGTTGTTGATGGTGGTGGTGCGGTATCTTCATCACTTCTGTCTTCTCTATATTCACCTGAAGTCCCGTCTTAGCTGCCTCTTCTATCAACTTGTTAGTTTTTGCCTGCAGATCTTCAAGTTTATGTGACATTAGGCATAAGTCATCGGCGAAATCCAAGTCTTCTAGGTTCTTTTCCGTCGTCCAGTGTATCCCCCTCTTCTCGCTGCCTACTGTTTGCTGCATGATCCAGTCCACCACAATAAGGAATATCATGGGGGATAGTAGGCAACCTTGTTTCACTCCTGTCTTCACTTCAAAGGCATCACTGAGCTTCCCATTGTGGATTACTTGGCATGTGGCATCTTCATATAGTTGTTGAATGAGGCGGATAAAGGTTTGCGGTACTCCGTAGTATTGAAGCAGTTTCCAAATTACTTCTCGGTCGACGCTGTCAAAGGCCTTCTCAAAGTCGATGAAGTTGAGGTAGAGAGCTGATTGCCATTCTATGCTCTGTTCTATGATGATACGAAGCGTTGCAATTTGGTCAGCACATGATTTGTACTTCCTGAAGCCTGCCTGTTCCGGTCGCAGTTTTGAATCCAGTGCGTCTTTAAGCCTCTCCAGGATGATGCGGCTTAATATTTTACTTGGGGTGGATAGGAGAGTGATTCCGCGCCAGTTCTTGCAAGCACTGAGGTCTCCCTTCTTCGGCAGTTTGACAAGGTAACCCTTCTTCCAATCGTCAGGTACCTTCTCTTCCTTCCACACCTTCTGCAATAGTGGTGTGAGCATGTCCGCTGTTGTCTCTGCATCTGTTCTCAGTGCTTCTGGCGGTATTCCATCTGGTCCTGCTGCTTTCCCGCATTTCAGTAGCTTTATGGCGTTCAGGACTTCCATTTTCGTTGGGGGATTTATGTTCACTTGTAATTCAGCGGCTGCAGGTGGTATTTCTGGACGAAGTGCAGGTGGTGGTCGATTCAAGAGCTTCTTGAAGTGGTCGGCCCATCGTTTCCTCTGTTTCTCTTCTTTTGTAATTAAATTTCCTTCTTCATCTTTTATTGGTTTCATCTGTGTTGGTCTCTTCCCTGATAGCAACCTGGTTATTTGATACAATGTCGTCAGGTCTCTCTTACCTGCAGCCTGTTCTGCTTCACTTGCCAGTGTTTCGTAGAAGTGTCTTTTGTCTTTGCGTGCACTCTTCTTCACTTCTTTGTCCAGTGTTTTATACATTGTGCTCAGTTCCTCTTGTCGTTGAGCATCCTTGCACTGGTTTATCTTCTGCTTCACCATCCTCCTCTCCTCTATCAGCTTCCAGGTATCCGTCGAGATCCATTCCTTGTCTTCTTTCTTCTTCCTTCCTAATACTGTTGTGCAGGTTTCTTTCCACATAGCTTTCAAAGACTTCCAGTGTTCTTCCACACAGGTTTCTTCAGGGATGTCCCTCGATGTCTCCCATTTTGTCTTGATGGCTGCCTTGAAGATCTCCTTTGTAGTTTCATCCTTCAGTTTCCGAGTGTTGTACTTGAATTGAGGTCTATCACCAGCTTCCTTGAAGGCTTTTAACTTGATTTGGAAGGTTCCTTGCACTAGATAGTGGTCTGAACCTACATCTGCTCCTCTTCTTGACCTTGTGTTAAGTAGACTGCGTCTCCATTTTCTTGAGATTGAGATAAAGTCGATTTGATTTTTAGTGTGTCCATCTGGTGAAGTCCATGTCGCTTTGTGGATATCCTTGTGCCTGAACACACTGCCTCCAATCACCAAATCGTTGAATGCACAGAATTCTGCAAACAATTCTCCATTCTCATTCATTTCACCTAGCGCCTCTCGACCCATGGTTAGTTCTCTTCCCGTGTTGTCCCCTCCCAGTTTGGCATTCATGTCGCCCATTAGAATTTTGATATCGCCAACTGACGTCTTGTCCAGTGTTGATTGAAGTTGTCTGTAGAATTCCTCCTTTTTCTCTTGCTCTGCATTATTTGTAGGTGCATAACATTGTATGATTGTGACCTTTCTTCCTTTTGAGTTGAATCTTGCTGTCATGATCCTGGAGGAGATTGGTTCCCACTGCATGAGAGCCTTCGATGCTCTTGAGGACATCATGATAGCCACTCCCTCAGTGTGCTCGTGGTTGGCGTCTGGGTGACCGGAGTAGATTATTGATTCTCCAGTTGACAGTTTGGAGAGTCCACTCCCATTCCATCTGCTTTCGCAAATCCCAAGCACTTCGATGTTATACCTTCTCATCTCCTTTGCAATCTGGGCTGCCTTACTGGGTTCAAACATCGTGCGGACATTCCATGTCCCCACGTTTACTTTCGCTTTCATCGAGAGAAGACACATCGGCCAATTGGCTTCCCGAAGGCTTTCACCAACTGGCGTCATTTCGCCTCTCCGATTCCAGCGGGGAATAAGTTTGTTTTCATTTTTTATATTTTGTTTGTGCTTTGAAGTTTCTTTAGCGGTTAGATTTGTTTTACGGGGTAGGGTTGCTAGCCCTATGCCCAACCTTCCCTCTTTACCCGGGCTTAGGACCGGCTAGTAACTAGTAAACTAGTTAACCAGGCGAGGTTGGTCACATGAGAATGTACGGATGGTATTATTCATCACTAAGTGGCTGTCTGGTTAGATTAATCTTTTCTGGAAGTAAATAAAGTGATTATATTGTTACTTGTATTATACCCGTCGCTCAAGAAGTGGCTATCGTGACTCCGTGATCTGGTGGACGGCTGTTTGATGTCTGAACCGATCGATCTCGGGTTTAAGTCCTAATGGGAGCAACATTGGTCACTGAGAAGCAGGTACATCTTGCTGAAGAGTCCTAAATAGGACGAAATGCTTGTCATGAATTCCAGTGCTAGCCACTATCCATTAGTAATACAAATGGAATGATCTATATTAAGCTGTACCTTATGAGTAGATAGTACTTGTTTTCAGAACATTATAGTTCCAAAAGGCATTCATGTGAACAATTTTGGATAAGATATAGATTACTTAATAAAAGATTTCAGTGAAGAAAATCTGCCTTGGCTACCGTTTCATTTTAAAGGTTGTATAAGATTATTTACTTATAAACATTGAGTTAGATAACAAATTTATTTGTATGTATATTTCATTTTTACAAGGAGTTCAATCATGCGGTGCACTATTATGAAAATGATATTTCATAAGACATCAAACTGAATGTCAAATGCTCAAAATGGATGAATAAGTGAGTGAATATGGTATGATTTCGTTGAAAAGTAGGTAAGTGAAGATGATATGAGACAAAAAGTGTGAATATCAGTCAGATAAAATATAATGAAATCGATATAAAGAGAGAGGAAAATGTTATAGCATGAAAAAATAGAATGTACTTAGGGACAATGAGATTGTTGTATGAGGTATGTGTTCAAAATGAGAAACTATGTTCAAATTAATAAAATGAATCTTTCAAATTATTTCTGCGCCTATCTTTCTAGTTGAAGTTTATACATCGGTATTACTTCTGTGATACAAAGTAGGTGTATATGTATTTCTCTTGATAAATTTCATTTATCCTTGTAAATATTGTCTAGTGATGATTTGGAAGTTACATGATTGTAGATGGTTTCATTTTGACTTACTGATGAATTTATAGTTCTACTATCCAACGGCTTAGATAAAGTAGGAGGTGCTTCCGATGTAGTTTTTCTGTATCTTTCACCTTCTGAACAGTTGAATAATCTAGATGCATGTGAGATCGGACGATGGAGAATGGGTCAGATAGACTTGGTCGTTCACAGACACTCTCTCTTTTGTCTCAGTGGCTTATTTTCAAATTTTTATATTCCATTGCCTATCATATTCTGATAAAGGTGATGGATATGTTTTTGACGTGAAGCTGTTTCTCCACACTATATTTTGAATAAGTAATTTGGACGCGTGATAAGAGAGAAAACAAGCCGAAATTACTTCTCTTTCTAAAGGAACAAATCTATGGGAATTCGTTACATGTTTATTCTATATAGAATTTTCTTATAGGTAGCTCTCTTCAGAGATTCATCATTTTTTCTTGTGATTAGTAATATCAAGAAATGGCATTTTAGATTTTATTTCTCTTCGAAGGTGAACTGAATAGATAGATGGCATTCACTGAATATCTAAGCACGTATTTTTTATCCCATAAATATCATAGATTGTGATAAATGTATCGTATAAATTATAGTTTGTCTCATGTTCAGGTTGTGATTTATATTTCAACAACCTATGATAAAATAATTCACCATGTGGAATGAATAGTGAATCAAAGATAATTACTAGATTATTCCATAAAAATATGATTTCTAAGATAAGCAGTAACTCATTAGTTACATTTAAAAATCCCTTGAAATCATCAACACAAGAAATTTAGAATTGAATTACAACTAAGTATAAAAGTAACAATAGTATAATAACATCTCTTGCTTAGATGTCTAGATATTGCCTATGTTCTAAACTATGTGGTAATAATGGACATTGGCTGGCAGTGGAATCCAGGATGCGCATTTCCGTCCTATTTTTGGGAGTAGTCAGCAGGAAGTATCTGCCTCTCAGTGAGTGATGATATTCCTACCGGGATTATTCGAACTCGGGGCCGACCGCTCCTAACGCCAGAGTGCTACCCACTCGACCATTGAGCCAGGATAGCCACTTCTTATATGACAGGTATGGTTTTGGTAATATTGCTTACATTATCCTGTCGTTGGTTGGACTGAATTGGTAGTTCTCTATTGGCACATGGGCTCTTGAGCGGGTGCCTTGATATTGCCTGTGCTCTAAATTATATAGTAATGATGGATAGTGGCTAGCAGTGGAATCCAGAATGCTCACTTCATCGTATTTGAGACTATTCAGCAGAATGTACCTACCTCCCAGTGAGTGATATCATTCCACCGTGAAGATTTAATAAACAATTATTGACTTAACAACAGACGAAATTAGATTATATAGAACAAAAGAAAGAGAACAGTACGAAAAGATTACAATTTCTTACTTCTTTTCTATATATTGCAACCCAGTTAGTTAGTCGAAACCATTTATGACACTTGATATCATCAACACCATTTTTCAAATTTCCATAACGTTTTGTTAAATCAGTTTGTAATAGTTGTTTAAGAAGATTTTTCAGATCACTGCTAACATGTCCAGGAAATCGTACCTTTTAGAAATGAGAATGGATTAAAAAAGATCATTTTTTAATGATAAGAAAGTTTTAAATTCAAAGTAGACTTCATTGTTAGTGATATTAAGGTATTTATCTTGAGATCATATATTGAATTTATTGTTTATCGAAACTTATCATTGATATAAATCTGTGATTTCATTAAAAGATTACGATGTCTTAAGGAGCGCGAATCTGTTACTTCAACTCCTACAGATGACGATGTTGTAGTTTGAGTGTTTGTGGAGACTGATTGGTTTTCGAAGCTATTCATCAAGAAACAACATCAGTTGTAGAAGCATTAGAAATTGAGAGCAGTAGACAGCTGTTTCGTTATGGCATGGAAATGCTCCTTAGTGTGCACACATGACTCGTTTGGAGGTCAAATCCAGGACTATCCGGTTTTGTAGCAAGAACGTTAGCCTTACCACCTCTGGCTGTTTAGCCATACGCACCGTAGTTTACATTCAGTGGACAAATTATTTTTATTATTTGTAGTTTTTCCAGTGGGTTCGTATTGGAACATAGGGATTCAGTAGCACATCTCCATTTCACTCTCTTCTCTGCAGTCTTCTCAACCTAGCTCCACAACTGCCCACAAGCTTCCACTTCCCCCTCACATCGTCCCCTCCTTGTCACCCTCACCTCAGATGCCCAACTAGTCGTTTCTCCTTTAAATTCCACTCGACGGCCTGACCTGACGCGTGATGTCCCCAGTCGGCCTTCTCTTTGTATGCCCAACCCATCTCCACTCTCTCCTGCACATCTGTTGCGCGATAGGGTCTTAGTTGGTTCGTTGCCAGCCAGCCACAACTCATTGTTGCTTATTCTTATTATTCTGACTATCCGATCTGATCTTCAGTGTTGAGCGAGTGAGTGAGTGAGCGTCGGCGTCAGCTGTTGATGAATGTCTGCAGTTTGTTGGAAATGCTTTTCGTGATGCGCCAAGTTTCTGAAGCATCATATAGAAGTACTGACTTGACTGAATAGGAGTTGAAAATTTGGATATTGTTGACTCCGTGTGCTGAGTGCAGTGGAGTAGATCTCCACAGTGACTTCATATTAGTGAAAGCCTGTCTTGCTGTCTTTCCGATCCTGTAGTTGAAACTATGCTGCCTAGGTAGATGAAACACATAACTTCATTAAACTCCTCCCGTTCATGGTGATCGGTGCCTGTTGTTGATGTTGGTGGTGGTGTCGTTGGTTGGGTATCTTCATCACCTCTGTCTTCTCTACCTTCACTTGGAGTACGTTTTTCGCTGCTTCCTCAGTCAACTTGTGGGTTTTTGCTTGTAGATCCTCGACTTTGTTCTACTAGACATTAGACACCAATCATCGGCGAAATCGAAATCTTCAATGCACTTTTCATCGGTCCAGCCAGAGTATGCCGATTTTCTGGGAGCTGCTCACAGTTTGCAGCATGGCCCCGTCCACCACAATCACGAAGATCATTGGTGCTAGTAGGTGACAACCTTGTCTTACTCCTGTCTTCACTTCAAAGGCGTCACTGAGCTTCCCATTGTGTTGAGAATCACTTCGCATGTGGCCTTTTCATACAGCTGTTGAATGAGGTTGATAAACATTTGTGGTACTCCGTAGTGTTGAAGCAACTGCCTGCCAGGTTACTTCCTGGTTGACGCTGTCGAAGGCCTTTTCAGAGTCGATGAAGTTGAGGTAAAGATCCGGTTTACTGCCATTCTGTGCTCTGTTCTATGATGATGCGTAGCGCTGCGTTGCGATTTGATCCGCACATGATTTATTCTTTCTGAAGCCAGCAAGCCTGCTCCGGTCGTAATTTTGAATACAGAGCATATTTTAGTCTCTCCATCAGTGGACACTTAGGGTACATAATTCAGTAGCCATTGAATAACAAGTTATGACTTTAATTCGAACTGGGTATTCCACCAGTTCATTTATATTGCATATCTCTTTCAGTTTACAAAGAATAACAAACTGGAAAACAATAAAATGACGGAGTTTTATTTCAGTCTCGAAACATATAAGGTAACAGAATGATCAATCAGTTGTAAATAACTCAAATCTCTTTGTTGTTTTCGCTAGTGAGATTGTAGTGATAGCACTGGTTTAGAGTCAAACTCATCACTAATATACTCAAATAGATTCATCTCATACAGTTGTATCTAGACAATCCAGTTGGATACATCGTTGTGCCATAAAATTAATGAACGTTTTGTTAATAAGTATTTTACAAATAGCGAATTTCGAAGGTTGATGCAAGTGACTTGTAACCGATAATACCAATCATTATGTCACCTTAGTTCATGATAGTTTTTTTCAGAGATCATAGTTCAAAATCTTTTCTGGTTGGTTACCAGTGGAAACGATGTTTACATGACATTCGAAAGTTAATTGGCTGCACAAATTTAAGATAATGTTGTTTTGATTATAAAAATATATTTTAATATAATCCTGGTATGTTTATAAAGTCAAAACAAGATTTTTCTGAAGGTTTCGCCATATAAGCCACAGCTTCTTCAGCAGGAAACTCAAAAGATTCGAATATTATAGTGATTAAACTAGGCTCAGTGTTGAACTTTTTCCGGTACACACATATTAGTTATGTCCTAGATGTTCGTAAGATAACTGCAGCTGGATCAAATTTTCATATAGAGAGGTTATAAACGGATGGGGATATCCCCACAAACCTCCAAATTAGATGTGTTATGGCTTGTTTATTCGATTGAATGTGTATTTAGGCTGTGTAATGTAATTTACTAGTCAAACAGTTTTAAAGGTCTCGTTGAAAAGGGACTAGAACAACCAATAATGTTTTCTTGTATTTTAAAGAAAATTCCTCTCTTATCAAGATGATTATTGGGTTAACTGTAGCAGTTATCCAACTGGCCAATGTATCTCCTTTATTTTTTATTATTTACACGGTGTGTGTACTTAAAATAATAGATTGATGGTTTCGGTTGACAAATTCAAAATTTTATCACAAATAGCACTCATTTGAGCTTAAGACGAACGAATATATCCCTGTTACAACTGAAACAGATGCTGAAACAGTCGAGATGTTGAAACTAGGGGACAGATCAACAATTCTTAAGCAGTATAGGTGTAAAAACTTGGGGACTGTGGTAGAATGTAATTCTATATTAGATTTATTTATTTGACTTATAACAGTGATTTAGTATCATTTACTCGATGACGTTTCAAGTATAAATTATTACTGCTCATTATCATACCAATGTAATCACACTACTTTCGGCGTCTAATCTTCATAGTTTTGTCACCTCGTACTACTTGTTTTCACAGGTAGTGAAATTTCCCATATCTCTGGTATAGGTGTGGTGTCATTTCCATTACATGTGTTGCATGTTGATTCAATGAACAAAGATTCAGTAATCAATCTCTCTCTCCATCTATTTATATTGGACTTAAGTACAGTGGCTTTGTCCGACCCCATTGTGTGGTTGTATGTTAATGCATGCAATGCAATAGCCGAGATTTTTTCCAGATTATTGATCCTATTTGGGTGTGTCATTCTACATTTAGCTGAATTCCTATAATCGACTATTCTAACTGACCCCGACCGGCTAGTTTGACTTATGTACTTGACCTGACTCACAGTCATTACATGGAATTTATTTATTAGTCATACTAGTGTTACTATTATTTTTTCGTTTCTTGTGTGTTTGTACGAATATCTTGACAAACTGCGGAGGATAGTTGTTAACTATAAGTGCTTCTTTACGTGTTTCAACTCCTTGTTTAGGTTCTCGCACTGACTAGTCAGTTTTCTATCTCTATCACTTAGACATTTGACTAAGCCTGCCTTAACTAACATTGGATGGGATGACTTGAAGTCCAGATACCTATTGGAATGTGTCGATTTTTTGTAAATGGTAGTATCTAAGCCAGCGTCCGTTCTCGCTCATATCTTGCAAACCAACATAGGTAATTCTCCTTGTTCATTTTCTAACTCATGCGTGAATTGGATTGCGCGTACCACTGAGTTTATGTTTGAGGAAATTGTTGATATGCTCCGATTTCAACGCAGTAATTGTGTCATCCACACATAGCCACCATATTTCGGTGCAGGACTAAGCGTTTGTAAAGCCATGTTTTCTCAAATATATCTGCTACGATTGGGGATGTTGGCGAACCCATTCCTACTGCTTCTGTTTGTCTACATATTTTGTCCTGATACTTGAAGACTGTGGAGATCAGGCAGAAACTGTACGCCTAATGCAACCTCATCGACCGATAACTTAGTTCTCCGATTCAGTTCTGCGTCAATATTTAGTTGACTTCAGACTGACTCCAGTGCCGTATTGATTGGTATTTTAGTATGAAGACTTGTTACATGAAAGCCAACCATTTTTTCAACCTCTTCTACATGTAGACCACTAAGCCATAGTATTAACTCATAAGAGTTTACTAGTCCGGTCAGGGTCGGTTAGAATAGTCGATTATAGGAATTCAGCTAAATGTAGAATGACACACCCAAATAGGATCAATAATCTGGAAAAAATCTCGGCTATTGCATTGCATGCATTAACATACAACCACACAATGGGGTCGGACAAAGCCACTGTACTTAAGTCCAATATAAATAGATGGAGAGAGAGATTGATTACTGAATCTTTGTTCATTGAATCAACATGCAACACATGTAATGGAAATGACACCACACCTATACCAGAGATATGGGAAATTTCACTACCTGTGAAAACAAGTAGTACGAGGTGACAAAACTATGAAGATTAGACGCCGAAAGTAGTGTGATTACATTGGTATGATAATGAGCAGTAATAATTTATACTTGAAACGTCATCGAGTAAATGATACTAAATCACTGTTATAAGTCAAATAAACGAAACTAATATAGAATCATCCTTGACTAGTAAACGTGTTCACGTGTTAATATGCGAAACAATGCAGACACAGACGAAGAGGGGAAGGAGGAATTCTACAGACAACTGCAATCAGCAATCACCAATGGAGAGGACCCCACCTGAAATGGCGACATC